CCACCCCCACCACCTCCACCGCCTCCACCCCCACGACCACCCCCACCACCTCCACCTCCCCCGCCGCCTGCACCACCGCCACCTCCACCGCCACCCCCATCGCCCCTGCCACCCCTGCCGCCCCTGCCGCTGCGACGCTTCCCACTAGGAGCGGAAGCAGCTCCGACCTCCTCAGCACCAAGGTAGTCGTGAGCAGCAGCTGCGGAGGCGTAGGAGGGGGTGAGAGGGGAGGGGGAGCACCCCTCAAAGAGGGGGGAGCGAGGAGTGCCACGAGCAGCACCTACAGCGAGGATGTTCTTCTCCACTGCGAGGAGGTGCTTCTCGAAGTCGTCGACAGTAAGAGTGGTGGGGTCTAGTGCTAGGAAGTGGTCCCTGACAGAGCTAAGAGTGTCAGGGAGGTGGGTGACGAGGAAATAGAGAGTGAAGTACATCGGGGGGGGTTTGCGGCGCAGATTTCGGCTGAAAGGGCGGCACGAAAGCGAGTGTCAGTAGCGCGCAGGTGGGAAATGAGGTCCTCAGCAGTGGTGAACGAGGAAAGGTCGGGGAACAGGTAGGGTAGCATGAGCCGACCTATGGCTGCAGTGGCCGGGGAGGAGTAGCGCGCAACTACAGCGTCGTACAGCTTCTTAGCAGTTTTGTGCTGGCTGAAATGCGCGCGCTCAGTAATCGGCAGATGGTTCCTAATAGCTAGGCGTGCAGCAGCATCGCGAGTCTGCCACTGCGAGCGTTCAAGAGCAGGAGCATCGGCAGCAGGAGCAACGGCAGTGCCAGACACGTAATCGAACAGTGAAACGCCCTCTTTGGCATCGGTCAGAAGGAACAGTTGGAGGTCGTCTAACCACACAGCGAACTCTATGGGGCGACCGTCAGGCTCCAACGTGAGAACGTTAGGCGTCGTCATAACGACAGCAGGCAAAGGCAGTAGGCAGCAGGCAGTAGACAGGAGGCAGTAGGCAGCAGGCTGCAGGCAAAGACAGAGACAGCAGGCCGTAGACAGGAGGCAGCAGGCAGTAGACCGCAGGCTAAGACAGAGGCAGCAGGCAGCAGGCAACACAGGTAACTTGCAGGGCAGTAGCTTGCCGCACTCAAGTTCCTAAGGCGGCGTGCTAGACAGCAGCAGGCCGCGCGCTTTCTAAGGCAGCGGGCTAGGCAGCAGCGGGCCGCGCAGGCAGGCACACGAGCAGGGCACGCACGACTGCTGGCTGCGTGCGGCTGAGGGCTGCGCGCGGCTGCTGGCTGCGCGTGGCAACGGGCTGCGTGCTGCGCTGGCTGCGCGTGGCGATGGGCTGCGCGCAGCTCCTGGCTGCGCGTGGTGACGGGCTGCGCGTGGCTGCGGGCTGCGTGCGGCGGCGGGCTGCGCGGGCGTGGCCTAAGCAGGCTGCGCGCGGGCGGCGTAAGTGGTGCGCGGGCGGGGCCTAAACGGGCCGCGCGGGCTGCTTAAGAGGCGCGCGCGGGAAAAGAAAAAAAGGGCCGCGCGCGTGCAGCCGAGGCGCGCGCGGGCAGTAGGCAAGGCAGGTAGGCAGGTGAGGTAATATGGTAACCGGTGGGCCCTAATCCTAGGTCCTAAGGACCTATGCTCTAGATGCCATGTTAAGCTCTTAGGCAAGGTGAAGTTCAACTATCAAGAGTTTTGGTACAAAAGGAAAACCTAAGGGGTTGTACCCCACAGTGAGTACCCCACTAAAGCCTACCTAAACTATAACATATAAATATATGTTTGACAAAATCTGCGTTGCACAAAACGCGTTGGACATCCGCGTTGGACAAAACGCATTGGACAAATGTTGCGTTGGACAAAATCAGCGTTGGACAAAACACCGTTGGACAAAATCCACGCTGGACAAAATCCGCGTTGGACAAAATCCGAGAGCAGCTCCTTGGGCAATTTCCAAGCTCGTGGCCCACACAATACGTTTCTTCCAGCAGATGCATCACGTGTGACTGCTGGTTCAGCTCCAAGCTCTGTGAGAGAAGATAATAGCATGCTTTAGGACGCTCGTCCCACTCCTCTTGCAGGTTGGGGTCGTGCGGCCTCTTCTCCACACCCGTCATCAGCTTCAACAAGCCGACTTGCCGAAAATACAACCGCATTCTCCACGGCCAATCGTCGTAGTTACTGCCATTGAACTTGTCGACAACGGAGTTCTTGAGCACCTCCTTCAACAGTGAGCCCCGGCTGGTCCGCACTCCCCTTGGTGTTGAACCACCGGCATCTTGGACTCCACTGTTAGCTCGTGCTAGAGAACCTTTGTTTCCGCTCGACTCCATGGTGTTCTAACGACAGTTCTCAGAACCACAGCTCTGATACCACGTGTTGACTACTATTTTGGATCTAGAGGCTCTGAGCACACCTTTAATACACACTAGTTAGTCCACACGGAGTCACCTCAAAGAGTCCTCGGGTGCCTGGCAAAGCCAGCCCCTAACCAAGGGTCCATGTTTGTCGAGGGATGCACTAAATGTAAATACAATCGTGTGCACTAGAACGCTCCCAAAATCATTTGCGCAGCGTTGATGACTGATTGGATCGTGCGCAGAGAATTATCATCGCGTCAATACGTCGATAGAGAATATTTCATTTATAAAAGGTTAATCACAAACAAAGACAAGCACAAATGTATACTAACCCACCAAAACCAAAAACAATCAGCCCACCAAAATAATAGCTGGAACCATACTCCGAATGACGGTTTTTTCAATCGGTGGGGACATACTCGCCCACGCACAATTATGTAACCCATACTTGACAGCTCATGACCATTCATGACAGTTCATAAAAATCCTGAACAATTCGCGCAATTACGCGACGAAATTACGAAGTCGTCGAAATCCACCTCGCTCAATTCGCACCAGCGTCGAATGTTAATCGAGCACGTCGCGAAACACCTCGTGATGAAGTCTCTTCGGCGAATGAAGACAAACAGCTCGAGGTCCCACAAGTTCCAATCTTTTGTCCATCGCGGATTTGTCCAGCGCCGTTTTGTCCAGCGCCGATTTGTCCAACGCGGATTTGTCCAACGCGGATTTGTCCAACGCTGTTTAGTCCAACGCCATTGGACAAATCCGCGTTGGACAAAACGGCGTTGGAAAAAACGGCATTGGACAAAACGGCGCTGTGCAAAACGGCGTTGGACAAAACGACGTTGGACAAAACGGTGTTGGATAAATCGTCGTTGGACAAAACGGCGTTGGACGAATCGGCGTTGGACAAATAGGCGTTGGACAAAACGGCGTTGGACAAATCGGCGTTGGACAAATCCGCGATGGACAAAAACGGCGTTGGACAAATCCGCGACAAGACGCATTGGACAAAATCCGCGTTGGACAAATGCTTCGTTGGACAAAATCCGCGTGCAACTTCTTGAGCACTTTCCAAGCTCGTGGCCCACAATCAATTTTTTTCCAACAGATGCATCAGGTGTGACCGCTGGTTCAGCTCCAAGCTCTGTGAGAGAAGATAATAGTGTGCAGTAGCACGGTCGTCCCACTCCTCTTGCAGGTTGGGGTCCTCTGGCCTCTTCTCCACACCCGTCATCAGCTTCAACAAGCCGACTTGCCGAAAATACAACTGCATTCTCCACACCCAACCTCTCACCGCCGCACCACTCTCATCAACCGCTCACACTGCTGCGATGTGCCCATGCCTTCATTGACGGCCGTGCCTCCTGCTCTGCTTGCCTGCTCTTTCTTATGTGAGTCCTGAAGCTTAAACAAAACCTCAGGTGAACCCTCAGGTGAGACGTCATGTGAGTCGGCCTTGAATACGCCTCATCGGTGTTTTTGAGATTACTCAGAGACAATGAGGTGAGCTGTCCATCCAAACAACTCCCTTCCGAAATTGATAGCAATATGTATTGACGAACAACCTGTGTTCTCTAACGTGCTCCCTTCTGCGTCCCCCTGTCCCTGCCCACCGTCCATTCGCCACACTCCACCAGCCATGGATCCTTGTTGAACCGCAAACTGAGTGAAGTGGCGGACCTGTTCATTGCAGGCGGCGCTATTTATGCTCCACAGGAAGCCAAGGAACTTCACACGCAGCACCGGCAGCAGCAAGAGCAACAGCACGAGCAGCAGCAGGAGCAGCAGCACAAGCAGCAGCAAGCACAGCAGCAACCCACATCTCCTAACAATGCCGCACCGGCTCCTTCCAACGCTCTCCTTACCAGCACCTCCCCATCCAGCCCTCGGCACCGCTGTGCACCACTCAGGAGAGAGCTGGTGCTGGAGGCAGAGTTCGTGGGAGGCTCATTCGAGAGTCTGTTCCTGAGCCTGCTGCAGCGGTATGGGCAGTTGGCAGTGGGACTGTACCGCAGTAGTGGTGGAGGGCAGGGGGGCCCTCCAGTGCCGTATGTGGCCACCAACCCTGCTGCTGATGCGGGGCGTCACGACCGCATGTATGTGGTGCGGCAAGGTAATGACTGGCGTGGAATTTCTGAAGAGAGGTGAGTAGAACGCTGTTTGTAGGGAATCGAACAACATTGGGTAGGATCTGTGAATGTGCAGCTTTATTTATCCCTTCAAAAGCGTTTTTTTTCTTTAGTTTTCTCTGCTAGTTACAATTGCACCAAGGACAACACTACCACATGACAACTAGTTCACAAGTTAGTTGTCTATAAGTTACCGTACCTCTACAGCTACAACAAGCTACCACTACGGTAGATACAGGCAGCCATGGCTGCCTTATGACACAGCACACAACACAACCCAACACAGCAAATCTTCTACACACCTACCGTAGGCCCCCTGAGGCTAAACTCCAAAAAAACATACTAAGAAAGCAAACCACACAAGCACACTCCCCTGACCTCAGTTCTGGCAGGAGCTTTGCTGCTGGATGTGCTGTGCCATCTGAGGCGCTGGGAGGGCAATGCAGAAGACTAATTACAGCATGGTACACGTGACTCCCTCCCTCTCCATGTCGACTCATTATCGAAGCTTCTCATTCTGGATACTTGTAACGCGCCTTTCCTTCCTAACTCCCTTCACTCACCCACCTCTTATACCGCCTGCCCCTCCTCACTCCCTTCACTCATCATCTCAATCTCAATCTCCCCACCCAACCTCCCCGCTCCCGCCTCCCCCTCCTGCTGCCTCAAGCCATCCTGCCCATGCACCCTCCCATCGTAAACCTCCAGCGTCTGCCTGGCAGCCCCGCCAGCAGCCACAGCAGCAAGCACAGCGGCAGCAGCGGACTCTAGAGCAGCGTGGTCTGCTGCACGCCTGGCCACCAGCCCCTCGTCTAGGTGGCTCATGGTGGTGTCACTCTCCCCATCGCCATACCCCACCACGCTACCACTCTCATACACCTCCCCGCCCTCCACGCCCACTGCTGACATGAGCACCTCCCGTACTTGCTGGATTGACGGCCGGCTCTCTTCCCTCACCTGCCGTGGGGAACACAGGCGGTGGGGTGGGGAACATACACGGTGGATTGGACAAGCATAAGGGGCATGGGGTGGGTGTAGGGTTGATTCGGAAGAAGGGAACAAAGAACAACTTCACCGCACTGCATCTAGCTCGCAACAGTGCAGTCCTCTCATGCTTTTACACATCCCGCTTCCCCCTCCCCCTCCAGACACCCAAACCCACACACCCTCCTCCCCTCCCACAAACACATACACACAAACAAACAACCAGCAAAGCCCACCCTCTTCTCACCTGCGTGCAGTCCTGTGCGAGCTCAATCACAGGCACGAGCTGGCTGGGCGGCACGCCACCCAGAGTAACCAGTGCGCCATCCAGCAGACCAGCATAGTCATCCCGGCGCATGAAGAACTGCTGCACCCACACGATCAGCGTGCTCGAATCGTCCAGCATGGCCCTCCCTTTCCAGGCAACCACACCCACACACAACCCCTACCCCCCTTTCAGAGAAGCCCACCCTCTCCTCACCTGAGTGCAGTCCTGTGCAAGCTCAATCACGGGCACGAGCTGGCTGGGCGGCACGCCGCCCAGAGTAACCAGAGCGCCGTCCAGCAGACCAGCATAGTCGTCCCGGCGCATGAAGAACTGCTGCACCCACACGACCAGCGTGCTCGAGTCATCCAGCATGGCCCGCCGCCCGGCCACCAGCTCAAACAATAAAATCCCGAACGAGTACACGTCGCTCGCAGCAGTGAGCCGCTTCGTGTCCGCATATTGCGGGTCTAGGTACCCAAAGGAGCCCCGCGGGGAGATGGAGCGTAGCGGGTCGTCCGCGTCGTCGCAGGGGACTTGGAACTCTGCGAGTTTGCCCTTGCTGTGAGCTGTGATCACCACGTTGCACGACTTCACATCCCCATGCACCATGCCGCCTCGCCACGCCTGCTCGCCGCCTCCCCGTGTGGACCCCAGGGGAGTGCCGGCCCCCACGCTCAGGCTCGTGCTCCCCTCGTGGGCCGAAAGGACGGGCGTGTGTGGGTCGTTGAGGGGTGTGGTGGAGTTGGGGGAGGCGGAGGCGGCGTGGGGAGGGGTGGAGGGGCCCTTGGGAGGGGTGTGGGTGAGGGTGGAGGAGGAGGTGTGGAGGTATTCGAGGGCCTCTGCCACTCCCAGCGCGATCACCATGCGCTCCCTCCATGACAGTGGGGCTCCACTGGCCTCTGTGGGTTGCCAGGAGGAGAAAAGGAAGAGAGGGGACGAGTTATGAGTATGATACTTCCAGTATCTCAGAAACACTTGAAAAGGAGCAGCAGAGCAGGCACAGAGGGGAGGGGCAGCGCGTTGGTAAGAGAGAGAGGGAGAGAGAGGCAGCGTACCGTGCAAGCGGTCGAAGAGGGTCTCCCGGGTGGGCTCAAACACGAGGGCAAAGTTGCCGTCCTCGTAGGCGTAGCCGCGGAAGGCGAAGAGGCAGGGGTGGCGCGCGGCGTGGATGCGTTTGACCCTTGCCACAAACTCCTCCTTCATGGCGTCCAGGTACACCCCGGGGAAGCTCACCAGCTGCACCGACAGATGCTCCTGCCCGCCCCCCCCCACCACCTTGGGCGCTGCCTCACCCGCACTGCCAGGTGCTGCGGGCGAAGCAGCATAAGCCGCAGCAGCAGGTGCAGAAGGTGCAGGGGCGGTGGTGGTGGGGGCGGTGAGGGGGAGGAGGAAGGTGGCGTCGTAGATGGCGCGCGGGTCGTTGGTGTTGGCCAGGTGTGTGAAGCAGTCCGTGGCGTGGTTCAGCTGCGTGAAGGAGAAGCGCGGAATGTCTGGGGGGAGGGCGCATGCCAGGACGGTAGGTGGGTGGGATGGGAAGGGAGGAGGAGGGTGCGGGTGGAGCAGCATTGAGGTAAGAGACAGATGGCACCTGTGCTGCACAGCTGGGTAGGGGCGAGGCAGTAGCAGCAACGAGCAGTCGTGATGCAGTTGAGTGGGGATGCAGAGAGAGGGAGCACTGACTGACCTGGCGGCATGCCTGGCAGGTACGTGTCTGGCGGGGGCGCTTTGAGCTCTCCAGTCTCCACGTCCTCTGTCACACACCATGCCGTGCCATGCCATGCCACGCCATGCCACGCCATGCCCGGGCCATCCCATGACATTTCATGCCACGCCACGGATGAAAGGGCATAGCGAGCACATGGGAAGCAGCAGGAGTGAACAATCCCATCCCATAAGAAATTACAATAGAAACGGGGCTTGAGAGAGAGAGGCGGGCGAGAAAGAGCAAGGGACCAAGACTTTTCCAAAACCAAATCGGTGAACATTATGAGGGCAAATCGCCAGCCAGCCCTCCATCCCTTGTTGCTTTCCCGCGTCCCCCAGCCCTGCCACTCACTGTATTCCTTTGCCTTGACCAGCACCTTGGTGGCTGGCAGCACGGCCTTGGGCCTGCCCTGCTGCATGTGCTTCACCCCCGCGTATGCAGCGCCCGCTGCCACGCCCACGGCGAGCAGCACGAGCACCGCAATGGTGAGAGCGATGCTGAGGGAGGATGAGGAGGACGCGCTCTGAGCGGCATCGTATGGCACTGCGGGGGGGAGGAGGGGGGAGTTGAAGGGGGGGTTGGGCGGGGCCGGGGGGGTTGAAGGGGACGGGAGAGGGGTAAGGCACCAGGAAAGAGGAGGGGAAGTGGAAGAGTGGGAGGGTGGGGATTGGCATGTGGCAGCAGGATTGAGACAAGCAACAGAGAAGATGTGAACAGGGATTAAGGGTTGTACGCGCAGGACTCTCGGCACTGGCATGCACGGGTGGGACTCTCGGCACTGGCATGCGTGGGGGGGACTCACGGCACTGGCATGCGTGGGGGGGACTCACGGCACTGGCATGCGTGGGGGGGACTCACGGCACTGGCATGCGTGGGGGGGACTCACGGCACTGGCATGCGTGGGGGGGACTCACGGCACTGGCATGCGTGGGGGGGACTCACGGCACTGGCATGCGTGGGGGGGACTCACGGCACTGGCATGCGTGGGGGGGACTCACGGCACTGGCATGCGTGGGGGGGACTCACGGCACTGGCATGCGTGGGGGGGACTCACGGCACTGGCATGCGTGGGGGGGACTCACGGCACTGGCATGCGTGGGGGGGACTCACGGCACTGGCATGCGTGGGGGGGACTCACGGCACTGGCATGCGTGGGGGGGACTCACGGCACTGGCATGCGTGGGGGGGACTCACGGCACTGGCATGCGTGGGGGGGACTCACGGCACTGGCATGCGTGGGGGGGACTCACGGCACTGGCATGCGTGGGGGGGACTCACGGCACTGGCATGCGTGGGGGGGACTCACGGCACTGGCATGCACGGGTGGGACTCACGGCACTGGCATGCACGGGTGGGACTCACGGCACTGGTAGGCGGGGCGTTGGTACTGCAGGAAGCAGATGTTATCGGAGACGGTGGCGCAGTCCATGGGGTACACGGGGGACGACGGGCTGGACGACAGGCAGTTGCCGTACACTGTTGATGCCACTGACCTGTGCTCCAAATGGGGGTGGGAGGTTGCACGGGCGGGTTGGGTGGGAAGGGTGTGAGCGAGAGGGCTGGGTAGGGTTGGGGTTGGGGAGAGGGGGCGATGGCCTGGACGACAGGCAGTTGCCGTACAGCATTGATGCCAGTGACCTGCGCTTCCAGAGGGGTTGGGTGCGGTTGCGGCGGTACAGGGGCGGGTTGGGGTGGGAAGGGTGTGCGCGTGAGGACTGGTCAAGTCAGGAAAGAGTAAGGGTATGTTGAGCTGGGGTTGGGAAGTGGGCAACAGGTTGGATGCCAGAGTGCTAGCGAGCAGCGAAAAGGTCACCGAGGTGAGCGTGAGAGAAAGGAATGGGGTGGGCGCGGAGAGGAGGGAAGCGAGCAGGGCTGGTTTGGAAGGAGGAGGAGGAATGCGGGCAGAGGGGTGCAAGGCAGGGGCATGGTGTCACACCTGTTGGCGCGAATGCGGGACATGAGAGAGTCGGGGATGGGTCCTGAGAAGAAGTTGTTGGAGAGGTTGAAGAGTGCACTCTCAGACAGCGATGCAATGAGGCCCCCGGGCAGAGCACCCGAGAAGCTGCTGTTGGTCAGGTCCCTGTGTCAGGCACACGCATAGCATACACACGCACATAATCCCATCCCAAGCCCGTTGAGAAATGGCGATTGAGGAGCGAAACCAGGAACTGAAGAGCGGCATGGGCTGTGAGAGGGGCTGACAGGCCCGCACAAAAAAACGATAAGTTACACTTATTCCTGAAAATATAGGCGACTTCGAGTTGACTCAAAACACGAATGTGGCTGGCTGGTGGTGGCAGGTGATCAGGAGGCTGGCTTACAATCTTTTCAGCAGGGAGAGGGCGGACAGGGTCGTCGGCACGCTCCCATTCACGCCCGACAGAAAGCTCACGTCCAGCAAGGTGAGGTTCGTCAGCTGCCCGATCGTGTCCGGTAAGCTGCCCGTGAAATTGTTCCCGTGGAGGTCCAGCAGGCGCAGTTTTTTCAGGCTGCCCAGCTGGGAGGGAATGGAGCCGGTGAAGGTGTTGGCGCCCAGGTCCAGCATGGAGATGTGAATAAGGGCGCTGATGGAAGGAGGAATGGGGCCCGTCAGCCCTGTCTGGTTCAAAGTCCTGGCACGGCGAGGCACCGGACGAGAGGGTGAAAAAGGGGTGGGATGGAGAAAAGCGAGATCGGGATGAATGGGCGAACGTGATGAGGAAGAGCTTGGGTGATTCGAAACAAGGGCGGGGAGGCGGGGGCGTGAGACACTCACAGGTTGCGGAGCAAGTTGCAGTTAAAGAGCTCGTCGGGAATGCTGCCAGAGAGCAGGTTCCTATCGAGCGTGAGGCCCAGCAGCGTGGAGGAGAGCTTGGGTGATTCGAAACAAGGGCGGGGACGTGAGAGACTCACAGGTTGCGGAGCAGGTTGCAGTTGAAGAGTTCGTCGGGAATGCTGCCAGAGAGCGGGTTCCTGTCGAGTGTGAGGCCGAGCAGCGTGGAGGAGAGCTGCCCCAGCTGGGATGGTATGGACCCCGAGAACTGATTCCCTGGCAGCGAGATGACTGAGAGGTTGGTGAAGTCGCCCAGGTACGTGGGAATGGGACCCGTAATGTCGTTGTACCCCAGCCGACTGGGAATACGGGGCAGGGGCATAGGGGGGCATGGGCGGGTTTTGAGACGTCTCAAGAGATGACGGAGAGGTTGGTGAAGTCGCCCAGGTACGTGGGGATGGGGCCCGTGATGTCGTTGTACCCCAACTGACTGGCCATGGCGGACAGGAGGGTAGGGGGGATGGGCGGGGGAGAAGAATTGACAGGGCCGCGATGAGGGAAATAGTCAGGCAGATTGATTTGCTGAGTGCGTGGCCTTGAGGATTGGGATGCAGGGAAGGCAATGCGGGCGGAAGCAGCAAGCGAGCTTGCGTGGAAGGGGAGAGCATAGCATGATAGGAGGATGACAGCAGGGACGTACAGTTGCTTGACTCGGATGGCGTTGGCGAAGGTGTCGGGGATGGGCCCAGTGAGGTTGTTATTGAACAGTATCCTGCAGCACACGCGCACACCACGTTGTGATAGGTACGTGAGCAGTGAACGTGATCGGCTGTAGGCTGCCCTTCTGACGCAATTCAACTGGCAGAGGGGAGACGAGAGCTGAGAGTGCGGAGTGAAGAGAGTGACATGAGGGGACGTGGTGGCCGGGGTCGATTGACAAGTCACAGGAGATGTGTTGTGGTGGAGTGCGCGGCGATGGACGGGAAGCAGTCACTCACAAGGTTGAGAATGGCGGGGAGCGGTCACTCACAGGGTTGAGAGGCTGCTGCGGCCAAAGCCAGCAGGGATTGTGCCAGTGAGTCTGTTATAACTCAGCTTTCTGTGGCAACGCGGAGGCCCGCGCAATGCGGATCGACGCAGATGTGGGAGCACGCACACGCAAGCACGCGTGGCACAAGCAGGAAGGGACGGGGACGAAAGAAAAAATGAGGTGTTGGCGGGTCGGATGGAAATATATGAGAGACAAGGAGCAGGGTGCAGAGGAGTGGGAGTGGTGGGCGGGGGAGAGGAGCCAAGGCGAATGAGTCAGGCGAACACCAACGACATGCGAAACGACGAAGAGAATAAGAGTGAGCGAGAACGAAGTTGCAATGCGACGAAAACAAGGGGGTTCTGAAGAACGCACACTTGGCGCAATGACTTCAGCCCTGCGAGCTCGGAGGGGATGGAGCCGAAGAGGTAGTTGCGGTGCAGGTTGATGGACTTGAGTCGCGACAGCTTCGAGAGTGCCGGCGATATGTTCCCCACCAGTCCCATCTGCTTCAGGCTCCTGCGGAGTGAGGATTGGGGAAGAATCGGGGGATCGGGACGAGCGATGACGTAACAGGGCGAGACGAACGTTGAAACGTATCGGATGACGACGAGATGGGGAGCGCACGCAAGACCAAATCGGGGGAAGCCGCCTCGTCGCTAAGCTTGGCGCAAGACCCATTCGGCAAGGCGAGGCACTCACAGTATCCTAACGTATCCTTCGTCGGAGCATTTAACGCCATCCCACGCGCAGTGGTTAGGCTGCTCCGTTAGGTTCCACGAGTCTAAGGACCGATGGCTGTAAAGGTGGTCCTTGAACGCGAGAAGCGCGATTGCTGCGATGAGGAACGACGGGAATAATGGAGCAGGGACGGGAAAAGTGGAGCGCTTTTAGTTACGCTAACCTAGGGAAGGAAGGTCGTGATAATGAGCGACGAAGAGAGACCGCGGAAGACAGCGGCTGAGTATCGGAGGCCTAAAATGCACCTAACGACTAAGCGAGGGGTGGCAATGCGGCAGAAACTACGAACCTTCCTCTGGGGCGGCTGCCTTCGGGACTTCGTGTTTCTTGGCGTCGACATTGAATGACGTGACCAGGAGCAGAGCTATAATCAGCCTATACCATTGGAAAAACCGTGTGGATCCTAATTGAGCTAACGAGCCTCCTAAGCGGCAGGGAAGTTTGACGCCTCTCATTGCTATAACTCGATGTATAACACGAGTCTATAAATGACTAAGCTTAGACCAAACATGGCCTAGCGTGAGCCGTGAAGCTTGGAGAACGAACCAAGACCTAAGTACAGTGCAGTTTAGGAGAAACTAGCAGTGGAGGTGGTGGTGGTGGCAGTATTTGGACTTGTGTTGACTCGGAGGTCTGGGCTGGAAGAAAGAAACTCTGCGGTCGAGATTTGTTGGAACGCAGACGTCGCTTGGGATTGACGTCTCGCTTTGCTTCTCCCGTTCCTTCTGTCCCTTGGGGTCCTCGGGAGTGTTGCGCTTCTCTTGGGTTTGTCTTCGGTCACGATTCATGTCTCTTCGCGTTCTCCCTCATTCGCTGCCTGTTTGCTATCGTCAACGCCGAAACTGAAACCGTCAGGTTTCGCATGCGAAGTCTGTCATTCAATTTCGCGCAGGAATGATGCCAATTTCGGTGATCATCTGTCGTGCGACGCCTGACCACCACGAAGGTCGTCAGGGCCGGGTTTCGCGCCATTCCGAGAGAGCAACACTCTATACTCTGAATAAGGCTCTTCAGAAAACTCCTCTAAGCCGAAACTGTACTCAGAATGTATAAATGGGAAGCACTGTTAGCTGAAGTTGCTGTTCAAGGGAACTGCTTTGAGACAACTTTCAAGGTTGGTATTCACGTGAACTGCTTTGAGGAATTTCCAAGGCGCCCTGTGTTGCTGAAATACCTAAGCCCACGCTCTGTTCCAAGCTCAAACGCTCGAAACCAGCATTCAGCATCCAGTGAGGAATGGCATTGTCCCATGGGAACGCCACGGATAGCTTTTGTAGTCTGAATGCACAAGTGCGGCTCGCGGTTGCTGTAGAGACGCGGCTTTACGCCGTTGAAGGTGCACGCAGGAAAAAGCAGGATTTGTAGTGGGATTCGGATCAAAGATGGCGGAACCTGCCGGGCTGAACCTAACGTCGTCCCGCCAGCTGTGTCCTGACATCCAACTGTCCTACCCCAACGTCGTGCAAGACTGCTACGCCTCGAGAAGCACGACCGGCTATTCCGTCTATGTCATTCCCTTCAACACCAGGTATCAAATCCCGTATGCTAATTCGGCGTCGGCTGTGGTTTCCAAGGTTCGATTACCTTCAGCTCACCGCCTCGTCTTCACTTTCTTCGTACTCAATGACCTCGTTTCTAGTGGCCGCGTAGTTAATCGCCTCGTTCCTCACCTCCAATCGACGGCTGTGCTTATCCTGACGTTGTTTTCCCCGCGTCCTCATTCAACCAGCTGCGACAGCTTCCTGCTGCTTCCCGCGGAGCAGCTATGGAGTCCCGCGGTGCGGTCGGCGTGGTACCTGTTCGGCATGCTGTACTGCTTCGTGGGGCTTGCCGCCATCGTTCGCGTCTTCATGGAGGCCCTCGACCGCATCTCCAGCACGTACGCCATGGTGAGGGTTTCAACTCCAGCACGTACGCCATGGTGAGGGTTTCATCTCGACGGCGTACGGCATGGTGTGGATTTCATCTCGAGGACGTAAGCCATGGCAAAATTTCAACATATCTGCTGGTACAGACTGCATCTTGAGCACATAAACCATACTACGGACTGTATTCTTGCTGTACTTCCCTTGGTACTACCATGAATCCTCTGTGCTTTTTCCTTCCCCTTTGTTGAACGACTTTGTTTTCTCTGCACAGGTGAGTCGGCACGACCCCGAGACGGGCAGGGAGGAGCGGCGGATGGAGAAGGTGTGGAACAGCACGGTGGTGAACGTCGCTCTCATGGCTCTCGGCGCCTCCGCACCGGACATCGTCATTGCTGTCGTTGACGCCCTCAAACACCTCAACCAGGGGCCTGGCGGTGAGAGGGGAGGGAGAAAGCGAGGGAGGGTGGCGATTGGGTGTGTTTTAGTATGTGTTTAGCAAGTAGTGATGAGCGTCATGCATGACTACGTGTGTGGCGCATCCTAAGTTCGCCTATCATAGGCACCATCACACCATCAGAGCTCCTTTGTCTTTGCCTTCGCCTGTCCCCTTCGGTCTCTCCTCCCTCGCCTTCCTTCTCTGCCTCTCCTCTGCCTCTCCCCGTTTCCTCTCTCTCACTGCAGTGTTGGGTGCGGGCACAGTACTGGGGTCGGCAGCGTTCAACCAGATGGTCATCTCGGCCGTCTGTGTGGTAACGCCACCCGCCCACTCCATCAAGCGCATCCAGGCCGTTGGTGTCTTCCTCCTCGAGCTCACTGCCAGCACGTGGGCATACGTCTGGATCCTGCTCGTGCTCAAGGTGTGTTCAGGGAGCCTCCCAAGTTCTTAGCCACCAAGAGTGAATGCCTCTGGATCCTGCTCGTGCTCAAGGTACCCTGCTGCTGCCCTGCCATATCTCCTGCGCTTGGTCTCATGCATTAGGCCTTGGTTTCTCTCAGGAATTTCCGCAGGGAAGAAGTCATGCCGTGTGTCTGCTGCTTCTTGTGTGGTTGCCTCCCGGCCCCACTGGTCTGTCTGTCACCTGCAGGTCTTCTCCCCCGGCCGTGTCACCATAGTGGAGGCATGCATCACGCTGCTCTTCTTCCCCCTCTTCATCCTCCTCGCGTACGCCCAAGACCAGCATTGGCAGCACTGGGGGCGCTGGGGGCTGCTCCTGCCTTTCCTACCCCGCCCCACCCCCCATGCACCCCGCCGCGGCTCCCTCACTCGCTTCAAGAACTATGGCAGCAGGGAGGCACTCATAGGTCCCTCTGTTGCTCAGGGCGGCAGTAAGAATGCTGCTGCTGGTGGCGGGAATATGTCGGGAGTTGGTGCGTGATGGCGAGCCCTGTGGGGGGCCCATGAAAGCAAACCAGTGGATGCGGCAGGAGGGAGAGGAGGGGAGGGGGTGGGGAAGAGCAGCACTGATGGTTCGAGAGCGATGGAGGGAGGGCAGGGAGAGGTGGAAATGCAGAGAGGGGCTCATGCAGCAAGCACGAGCATTGCGGTGGGGGACGCGGAGGAGGGGGCAGGGGAGCAGCAGGCGGTGGAGGGGGATGGGCAGAGGTCGCATGGGAGCGCGGATCTAAGTGACTGGGAGGACGTGGTGAGTGTGTGGCGGTTGGGAGTTGGGTTGTGATTTTTTTAGGCGCCTCAAGAGCAGAGGTCGCATGGGAGCTCGAATTTGAGTGACTGGGAAAACGTGGTGAGCGTGTGGCTGTTGGGGGTTTTGCGTGGGGAGTTTATGTGGGTGTGGCGAGTGTGTGGGTTGGGTGTGGCGAGTGTGTGGGTTGGGTGTGGCGAGTGTGTGCGTGTCGGTTATAAACTAAGAACCACAATCGAGCATTCTAAGACTTCATGAACGCAATGACAGTGCGTGCTGCTTGTTGAACTACGTGTGTGTGACTGGTGGGCTGGCAGGGGCAGATGGAATCCGAGCAGCAGCAACAGCAACACGAGGAAGCATCAGGGAACATTTCTATGGAGCCAGCAGCAGCTGAGGAAGGGAGAGTTGAAGCAGGTACTGCCTGTCTCTTCCTGCATGCACTAAACCGTATGCATAGTCCTTGCTTTCAGAACCATTGGTGCAGGAGAGTTGGTCCCATCAAATGCGTTAACAAAAGCAATCCTGTCAATGTGCCTCCACATCCCAGTCTCCGCCAATACCCATGTCCTTCTCTCATTTGCCACCTTTTGGATTGACTAGAAAAGTCCATTCATCAGATACGTGAAGCAGTCATGACAAGCTGGCCCTCTCATCCCTTTCTCCCCCAGGCGCCAGGTCCACCTCCCTCGATGTACCACCAGCAGTGCCAGCAGTGCCAGCAGTGCCAGCAGTGCCGCAGAGGTCAAGCAGTAGCAACCTGCGGCGCCGGTCAGGTGCTGGATTCTCCACTGCGGCTGCCATGCAGCATGACTCACCGGATCCCTCTCTGTACGTGTTTTTAACGAGGCGATTGTTTTTCCAGTTGCTGCACTACCCTGTACCCTGCCACTTGCTTCTTTTGCATGAATGCGAAACCTCCTCCTGTTGTCTAGACTTGTTGTCTACGTGCAATGTCGCTCCACTTCTCATCCCCTCCCTGCATGTGTCCCTCCCTTTTTCTCTCAGTTCGCGCCGCCTCGGTCAGCACCTATGGCTGCGCTCACAGCTGCCTGGCCTCACCCATTCGCCAGCTCCTGCCATCCGCCCAACGCCCCTTGCCTCACCAGGCCCGCTCGTTCTCAACCCCCCACAGCAGCAGCAACAGCAGCAGGAGCAGCGGGGGGAAGAGGAGAAGGCGGAGGGGCATGCAAGGGGAGCAGGGATGGCTGACAACGGGCAATCAGGGCTGGTTGAAGGCGACGACCATTCTATGGATCTGTTGCAAGGTGGGCTCACTAAGGGTATTTTGAGCCAACTCAAAGAACATGTGGTTATTCGGTACATGTAGCATCCATGTTCGGACCCTCCCTTTAATCTTTATTATCTCCTTAAAATTCCTTTCTCCTTGCCTCCCCTCCTCTTTCCACCCTCCTTTTTAACTACGGTGAACCCACATGGGTATCAGAGCGGTGGACGTTGCTGGTGCGGTTGGGGGAGAGGGAGGTGTGCCGGCTTGAGCACACTCCTGCAAGCAACAACGGAACCAGCAGCAGTGCAGCAACCTGCATCACTTCTCCTGTCCAAACCCTCAACTTGTGAGTGTCAGACAGCAATAGTTGAGACTTAGAATCGAATGCACCTGTGTGCATCTGCTGATCGCTCTTGCTCATTTTCCATCTCAACGTTCATTCAATTCTGTCTATTTCCACTGTCTCTTCCCTGCCCTCCCATCCAGCCGGGTGCCCACTGCAGAAGCGCTGCATCTTCAGCTGGAGCTAACCGTTACTCACCTTCCTCATGCACTCGGCAACAGCAGTTGCACGCATGCACGACAGCTGTCCACATCAAGCCCCCATGCCACGTCACCATCCCTGCAGTCCAGCTCAGCAGCATCCGCTGATGCTGTCATTGCATCTGCGACCCGCACGGTTTGCTCGTTACAGTCACAGCCACCTTGGTTCACGGCAGTTGCTTCACTGGTACCCCCTTCAACACAGTCACACTCACACACTGCATACACGTCTTCTTTGCTGTTTGAGAACGCACGTGGGGCAGAGAGAAACCAGGGCTGTGGGGAGGAAGGGTGCAGTGTGGAGGGTGACGTGAGGGCAGAGCTACACGTGGGGGTGCGAGTGGAAGCAGGGGAGGGAGACAAGGTGGCGGATGTGACAGTTACTGTGCTGGGTCTGCGCCTTGCACTGGAGAAACAGCATGGTATGCACCTCTCTCCCTATATTTCTTGCTCTTGACCCAACACTCAAAGCTGATGATTTTATCACAGCATGTAGGTAGCTGTTTCTTCCATGTCTTCCCTGTTGGATGTGGGCGTTTGTGGAATTCTGTCACTCAAGGCATGCTTGAGTTCATTCCACTTTCTGACTCTCTGCCAACCAGGACAAGGGGGGCTGGGTGGGCTCAGCATATGGAGAGAACCGACCTCATCTGCCCTATCAAGCAATCCGGGATTGGGGGAGGTTTGGCTGCAGCAGATCGAAAAGGCAATTTCGGTAAGCCATCCCACCTTGCTCTGTCGTCATTTCACCCAGCCTTAGCTGACTGCTTCTTTGGCATTTCGAATGGCTCTCAGGTCCCACTGTCAGGTCACCAGAGGGACGTGTCACTGTTGGGCCTTGGAGTCCACTTCATCTCCTTCTACTGGAAGCTCCTTTTCTCACTCATCCCTCCACCCTCCCTCGTGCGTGGCTGGCCAGCCTTCATCCTCTGTGAGTGGGGTTAGACAGCTGTTATCCAGGGGCTGCGGGTGAAGGTTCTCTGTAGGTTTTATCGAAGCTGCTTGTGCTATTGATTTTGAATCACTCCTTTGCACATACGTTGTGCACTGTACTAGAGCATATGTGTTGTGAGCTCACTCCCATGTGGTAACTCCTGCAGGTCTCTGCTTCATGGCTGGCATTTCTTTCCTAATTGAGGAGTTCGCGAGACTGTTGGCATGCACATCAGGCCTGCACCTCTTCTCGGTTGCCATTGTCTTCGTGGCTAGCGTAAGCTTTTCCGAGGAGTGAGCTGCCGGCTGATTTCTGATGTCTTGGGTAGTACTGCCGTATTCTTGTTGTGTTTCTGTTGTTTCATTGCCTGCTTTTATTATCTTCTTCACAGGATGTGACTTCCTGCATTCTCACGCCGCCCCCACCCCCACCAATGTTCATCTACCAGGGAACCTCTGTGCCTGACCTCCTCGCGAGCAGAACGGCTGCCAGGCTTTCACCCTCTGCTGACGTGGCTATCGCAAACATTAACATATCAAATGCTGTGAATGTCTTCGTTGGACTTGGCCTGGCATGGCTGATCGAGGCGGGGTATGAGAAGGCAGTTTCAGGCGACTCGCTATTCGTCCCACACCTTTTAAATCTGGAGGTTTCTGTCATAGCTTTCTTGTGCACCACCGTAGTATTCGTTATCATCATGGGTTTGAGGCGCAAACTCGCTGGTGGTGAACTTGGGGGTGCCAGGAGATGGGCTTGGTTAGCATTTAGCGTATTCATCCTCTCGTGGTGTGGCTTCCTTGCTGTAACGACTGTGACGAGTCAGCAGTAATGAAAAGCGTGGTACAGTGTAGCTTCCTGGTTCCTGACCAGCAACCTCCAGAACCAGCCAGCAGAATAAACCTACTTCACTCATGGTAATTGGAGTGTGGCGTGCGCAATGCCACAACCACACCTGATTGCACTGGTACACGTGCACTGGAGGATTGGAAGGGGGGCTAGAAAATATGGAAAGCAAGGATAATTTCGGTACCAACCAACCAACCGTATGATTAGAGCTACGGTAATTTCATGGCACCAACCAAGAGTGTCATCACAATCTTACATCAACTAAAAACTACCACTTAAAAAAAGTCTGCTACTTCCAACCTTACAGTACCGTATATTGAAAACTGAACAAGGGCAACCAAGCCTGCTACAATCAGGATGAAGAGAACCTTCAGGCAAAAGGGACCATTGCAAAGCTGTCACTGTGAACCTGTGCCTAATCGGCGCGAGACTGGCCAGCACGCGATGACAGAATGATACCAACAATAAGCCCATACAGGGCAAGAGCTTCAGCAAAAATTAGAATAAGAATCATGCCGACGAAAAGCTTGGGTTGCTGGGCGTTAGCTCTGCAAAAACAAAGCCAAGGGTCAGAATGGTGACACCGTGGCACCAGCAAAAATGGATGACCTCAACTTTCTCCTCAGATCCGATCCCTAAATACGCACCTGACACCAGCGTCGCCGACAATCCCAATGGCCATGCCCGCAGCGAGACCCGCCAGACCGCAAGAGAGCCCAGAAGACAGATGAGCGTAACCATCAAAAGAGTAATAGGCCTTGGCCTTGGGGTTGATACCCGTGCTGATAATAACGGCAATGATAAGGCCGTAAATACCAAGCACACCAGCCATAACAACGGGAACAATGGACTTCATGACGAGTTCAGGCCTCATAACACCCATGGATGCAACACCAACGCCACTCTTCGCTGTGCCGTAAGCTGCTCCCATGCCTGTAAAATGCGGAAACAACGGGTTAACAAAACTAAATAGCATCAGCACAGGTTACACGCTTGGATCTAAAACTGCGGAAACATATTAGCACAGTAATGGGAAGGATCTGGGTGAAAAGGCCCGGATCAGGCCCAAGCAAAGATTTCGCCGCTATGTGCCTACATGAGAAAACGAGAGCTGCGGAAGCCCCCATAAAGCCGAAGAAAGGAGCAGTCTCATCGCCATTGAAAACACCCGACATGATGGCAGCTTGATCGAGATGAAGACTGAATAGGAGGAAGTCCGTAGACTGTTAGAAAGTGAAGTCCTTATCTCCGAATAGCTACCAGCTGAAATTTGCAAGCAAGGAAATGCACTACTCAGCTGAAGGTTGGAACCCTTTCGTTCAACCAGGCAATCTCTTGGAGGCGTTCATTGGCCAGGCATGGTCATCAAACAATCCCTTGTGAGCGATGAGGAAACCTACACTGCACTATGATTCAGAATAGTCATAATCACGTACATGCCTTTGTTTGTATACACACACATGCATCATTCACATTGCACCTTCAATGTGGCATAGCTGCCTTACCTGGTGTAAATACCTTCAGGCATCAGATATACGCGCATGCCTATATTATTTGCATGCAATCATACAGGAAGCCCTGTGCTTATACCATGTCCTAACATTAACTCCATATGTTAAGGCCTATATTTTGTTTTTCAAGTAAAAACTAGCTGAACCAACGGTTTGAGAGTTTTTTTCCCGGCTTTGTTTTGCCTGTTGCGATCAGAAAGGAGATCGTGCCTAGGATCACCTCAGAAAGGTTCACAGTACTAGAGTGTTGCAGCCAGGGCTGACGCTATCAGACTAAATAATCTGATTAGTCTGACCAATCAGACCACCCAGTTTGTGAAAAATATACTTACAGAGTAGTCAAATTTTGATCAATGAGAGCCTCAGAGTTATTGTTCTATGGCCCCTGATTCAGTGTAATAGGGCTCAGTGTTAGTCGTTTCTGGAGTCTTTCTCTACAGAGTATACATTATGTGGTCCCTGATGTGAAAATGAACGAGGAATGAGAAGACTAAGGGAAAGTTGGGTACAAGTATAAACCCTAGAAAGCTGTACCCCATATGTGCTACCCCACTATAGCCTACAGTAGCTAAGTCATATAAATCTGACACACCCCCATAGGCAAAGTGGGGGAGGACAAGGGGTCACAAGACCAGTCAAGCAAAGCAAAGCAAGCTCAGGGTGGATCACAACGTCACCACACATTCCGAGCACAAGTTCAAGGCCACAAGGCCAGTTCACATGCAGGATTACATATATATATATAAGGCTAAACAAGCAAGAGCAGGTGTATATACATATGTAACAGTACAAACAAGGTCAAGGGGTGAGCAAGTGAGGCAAGGTAGGCACAAGACCCAGCTGAGTACAGAAGCGCTGATGATCACAAGGCGCAAGTGCCTTGGTGAAGATATCAGCAGTGTTGGCCTCAGAGGCCACGTACGCAAGGCGTAGCTGACCACGCTGCTGTAGCTCACGAGCAAGGAAGTAGCGAAGAGCAATGTGCTTCGTTCTGTGCTCCAGTCTCTGCTCCCGACACAAGGCCAGCATGGCCTTGTTGTCTACGTACAGCACTGGAGGAGAACGAGGCGGCTCTCCGAGGTCAGTCAGCAGGTAGGTGAGCCAGCGAAGCTCCTGTGCAGCCATGGCCCCTGCGTAGATCTCAGCCTCACAACTGGAGCCGAGAACAGAAGACGAGCGGGTAGCCCGCCACGAGACAGAGCCGGAACCAAGGCTGAAGGTGTAACCCTGTGACGACCGCTGCGTAGCCTGGTCGTCAGCCCAAGAAGCGTCTGCGTGCCCAGTGAGGACCACTGGACTCTGCCCTCCAAGCACAAGCCCCATGCCCGACGTACTGCACAAGTAGCGCAACACCCTCTTCGCTGCAGCCATGTGCTCCGGTCTGTGTCTCCCAGGAGCAACATAGCGTGCGAGAATGCTAAGAGGGTATGCAAGGTCAGGTCGAGTGCAGGTCATCAGGTACATGAGGCAGCCAACAAGCTCTGGGTACGGGCCACTCGACTCTACGGACTCATCCGAAGGCAGAGCTGAGAGCGAGTGGCGAGTAGGCAGAGGAGTGGCCTGAGGCGAGGAGTACGTGAAGCCGAAGCGCTGAAGGACCTGCTGCACCATGTGTGACTGAGTCAGGGTAATGGTGCGGCGTGCTCTGTCCCGGGTGATCTGCAAGCCAAGGTAGCTGCGCAGTTCACCCAGGTCTGTGCACGTGTGTCTCTTCTGCAGCTCGGACTTCACGTGGGCGAGTCCAGCAGTGTCAGCTGTGGCAAAGACCAAGTCGTCGACGTACACGAGGATGTAGAACGGCGGCAAAGAAGTGTCGGTGCGCAGAAACAGCGACGGGTCGGCAGTAGAGGGAGCAAACCCAAGAGCCGCAAGCGTAGTCCTCAGTGTGTCGTGCCACTCACGCGGTGCCTGGCGGAGACCGTAGACTGGCCGCCGGAGGCTCCACTGGGTGCCAGGAGGAAAAGTCCCAGTGAAGCCAAGTGGGCGGCGCAGCCAGATCTCCTCGTGCAGGCTGCCCTACAAGAAAGCAGTGCTGAAGTCAAGAGAGTGTAGCTCGTAGTCACGGTGAGCAGCTATGTGCAGCAGTACCCGAAGAGTGGTCATCTTCGGGGTGGGAGAGAAGGTCTGAAAGTAGTCAACTCCCTGCCGCTGACTGAAGCCACGAGCCACGTAACGCGCCTTGAAGACAGGCGGAGAACCCGGCGGCCGCTTCACCCTGAAAATCCACATGCCACTGACGATGTTCGCCCCAGGCGGGGGAACCTCGTCAACGTAGGTGCCTGTGGACTTCCAGGAAGCCATCTCTGCGTCCATAGCTGCCTGCCACTGAGAGGAGTAGGGACCCTCTATCGCCTCCGCGTAAGAGCGCGGAGTCGGGATGTCAAGTGCATCCGGGTCTCCCTCAGGGGTAAGCAGTACGGACACGAGATGAGGTGAAGCAGCAGCCAAACACTGGAACTCCTCCTGTCTGTCCTCAAGGACGTCCGTGCCAAGGGCACACTCACCCCCGACGGACGGAGGACAGACAGACTCAGACGCAGCAACAAGACTAGCAGCGTAGTCTAGACGACAGCGAGCAGCAAAGTCGACGAGCTCAGCAACTAGGGCAGACGCAGCAGTGGACTCAAAGGAAGGGTCAGTGACAACAGTAGCAAGGAGACGCGTGACAGTCGGACTGGCAGCACGAAGGGAGTCCGACTCCGGGTCAGCAAGAGCAGGAAGAGAGGACTCAGGAGGAGAAGGCAAAGGGGCACGCAGAGGAGCAGTGGACGGACGGAGAGACATCCGGTGCGTGCCGGGCACAGGGGGAGGACGCTGACGCGAACCACGACCACTAGTGCGAGCAGCACGGACAGGCGACGCAGGACGAGACGCAGGCTCACGACGCTCAGCAAGACCTCCAGTAGGACCAGTGTAGGGAGAAGGAGCAGGCAGTGGGGAGGCCGGCTGTAACTGTAACTGTGACGGGACAGGCTGTGGACACTCTAAGGGAGGAGGAGGACCAGTAGAAGGCGGGAGACCAAGAACCTGCTCAAGAAGCGGAACGAAGTACGGCCGAGGCCGCGCAGCGACTCCAGACACAGCAGGGACAGCACCAGTACCCCCAGTGGTAGCACCAGCGCCAGCAGCACCTCCAGCTCCAGTACCCCCAGCAGCTCCAGTAGCTCCAGGACCTCCAGCAGCACCAGTAGCACCCCCAGCAGGACCGCCTCCAGTACCGCCAGCAGTACCCTCAGCGCCAACACCCTCAGCAGCTCCAGCTCCAGTAGTACCCGCAGGCCCAGCAGCTCCAGTACTCCCAGTACGAGCACCTCCGGGACCCGTGGCACCAGCACCCTCAGCAGCCGAAGAACCTCCAGCTCCAGCAGCACGCCTCCAGCGCCGGGCAAACCACTCACGCACCTCCTGTGGAGAGAGTGGCTCCCGTCGAGACGGAGCACCCAGAGAACCTCCAGGCCCAGCACCGCCAGACGCCACACGAGCAGGCCCAGCTCCCTCAGGCTCCGCACCCCCAGGCTCAGCACCTCCAGGCGTAGCACCCCCAGGCTCAGCACCCCCAGTCGTAGCACCCCCAGGCTCAGCACCCCCAGACTCAGCACCCCCAGGCTCAGCACCCCCAGTCGTAGCACCCTCAGGCTCTGTCAGAATCCCAACCACTAGACCATTGGGATAAAAGGGCTTGTTAAGTAGCGGGTCAGTGCGCCCATAACCCCCCAGGACAACGAGCCTGTAACCCTTCCCTAGGATCAATCGAGGATCACCAGTGGACCTCTGACACCCCCCCGCACTGGGATGCCCGAAGTGCACATACTAGGATTCGAACCCGTGACCTTCGCTCTGATACCATGTCAGAATCCCAACCACTAGACCATTGGGATAAAAGGGCTTGTTAAGTAGCGGGTCAGTGCGCCCATAACCCCCCAGGACAACGAGCCTGTAACGCTTCCCTAGGATCAATCGGGGATCACCAGTGGACCTCTGACAGGCTCAGCACCCCCAGGCTCAGCACCCCCAGGCGAAGCACCCACACGCTCAGCACCCCCGGAGTCAGCACCCCCAGGCTCGGCACCCCCAGCAGCACCAGAGTCACCAGCGACCTCCACAGGCTCGACTGCGTCTACCTGGGACACACCTGAAGGGGCAGGACCCTGAGGGGGAAGGGGGTCTACCGGGGGGGGACCTGGCACAAGGAAGAGCGGAGGCGGGGGGAGGGACGCAGTGCGGTAGGGGAAGAGACGGTAGTAGGGGACCGACTCGTCAAACGTGACGTCCTGGGAGGACAGAACACGGCGAGAGGTGGGGTGGTAGAACTGCCACCCTGGCGCGTCAGGGGGGAAGCCAAGGAAGACGCAGGGAGCAGCACGAGGGGACAGCTTGTCCGCAGACAAGTCGCGGACAAACGCCCGAGATCCCCAGACACGGAACGCAGACGCATCGCCAACCTTCCCCGTCCACAGCAAAGCTGGGGAGGTCTCCGGCATGGAGACCCTGGGCTGAAGGTTGATCTGATGCGCCGCGTACCGAACCGCAAACGGCCACAGAAAATGGGGGGCAGCCGCATGCATCATGGACGTACGGGCGACGTCCATGACCATGCCAATGCGGCGCTCAGCAAT